TTGGGACTAAGCAGTATAGATAATGGATGGATGGATGGATTGGACTTCCCCATGACCCTGTTTGGGACTAAGCAGTATAGATAATGGATTGATTATTAAAGTTATTTTTTAGTGCCACTGACAAATTATTCAGTGGCATGTTGCATAATTCTGTCAGGTTTATTTAAAAAAGATGATTACTGTTGTGCATACTTATAATTTACAACTGTAAAGAAATTTTTTTATGTATTTACAAATTAAGTAGTTTTCAGTTGATGCTGCAAAATAAATGTTGTTACATAACTGACTTTTGTATTTTCTAAATCTCTTCTTTCCATTTAAGTTTTTATTGCTGCATGTTAGTTAAAATCATTATTATATATTGTAGAGAATATCAGTAAAATTGGTAATCAAGGTTACAGTAAAGGCAGTGCTTAATTCATAGTAATTGGCTGTCATCAATGCTGCCACTAATATGTTCTATTTACAGAAATTACTACATGGTACTGTATTTGGATTATGGTGAAATTCCATTGTTAATGTAAAAATAAATATTGTAGCTATACCATAGTATACTGTAATTTCAGTAAGATACAGCATGATACTGTGTTTTAGTATATGGTATTATAACAGTAATACTGTAGAAAAACAGTAAACTACTGGCAACCCTGCTGCCAGTAGTTTACTGTAAAATCAAGAATATACAGAAATCTACTGTAATTCAGTACATGACATTATTACAGTAGTATACTGTAAAATAGATACAATGCAGCTCCTTCCGACCATCTCTATACTTCTCCGTTAACATTCTCAGAGCAAAAATTGCATCAGTAGTGCTCTTTCTGGGCATGAAGCCATACTGGCAGTCAGCAGGCCGCACTATCACTGTAAAAACACGACCTTGCTGTAAATCAGGCATTACATCATTACAGCTTAGGGAACAGTTTTACAGCGGGGGAATGAGGAAAGAAAGACTTGTTGACTGGGTGGTCAGTGTCTGTCATCTGACTATAAACTGCTGCTAGTGTGTTTCAAAACAGGTGCCAAATGCATTATTTTTGCTGCATGGGCACTAACTAGTTTAGTTTGACTAGTAATTAATTTTAGAGACTTCACAGAATCTACGGTAGTTAATGTCGGTTTCCTTAGTTAGTCTGAACCATGGAGTTCTACCAGGTTTTTTATCTAACCTGAATCGTTTTTGTAATGGTCATAAGGATTTTCTAAGGAACTGAAAAACAATGTCAGGATGACATAGACACCAGATTGGAAATTTTTGTTTTGGAAAAGAGGGACATGAAGAACAATTTTCTTGTATGGCTACTTGTGCTTAGAAAACATTTTACATTTCAGGACTCTAGTTTCTAATGTTCAATGAAAAAAATAATTAAAAAAAAACTTGTTAATTTATTTCAAGATGCTTTTGGTGCTGGTAGTGACATCAGATACCATCTCCACATTCAAATGATATGTAGCCTTAGGTCATGTTCAGACTGAGTTTCAGAAATGTGTAAAACACAGCCCTCTTACTGTTGTTTAGAGACAAAACAGCTAACATGAAGGAGAAGCTCATCTCTGCTGTTATAGCATTTCTGCAGTTGTACAACACTGCTTTGATTGAGTACAACGATGCAAATGGCCGTGCTTTCACCTGGAGAACGCAAAGTTTTGAGCCATCGTGTTTGATTAAAGTGACAGACTCCCACGCATTCACCAATGTTTTTGGGATTCAGTCAGAGCTCATGGCAGTTGCGCCATTTGGTCTCCGTCAAAATGCCAGTCAGGATGGGACATTTACTTTTGGCTTTTTGGTAGTGATGCTACATACACCACTTCGTTTTTAACATTTGAGACAGATCTGTTTGCAGAATTGTCTGAGAATAAATGCCTGAAAAGGGGCTTCTGCTGTGGCTGGTGTGTTTTGCCTGCCACTCAATGAACACTCACTTAGCTTTCAGGTTCGGGTGCAAGCGATCAGGCCGCTATGCCGGCAGGGCTGGTATGTAATGATTATGTAAGATACTGTTATGCTTAAGGCAAAATAATCTGAAGCGAAGCTTGTGGTTGGCAGACTGGAGCCTCCTTGACTGGAAAACACAGACTTTTTCTCCTCAGCCTGTTTTCCTCTAAACCCCTCCATTTTCCATCCCGGTCACCTCGCAGCTTGTCCTCCCTCCTGTCCACCGTTCTCTTGTTTTTCTTTCCCCTCCTGCTCATTTTTCTGTCCCTCTCACTTGCAAGGTTCCCCATTCAGCCCGTCCTTCTCTAAATTCATCTCTGTCTATCTATTACAGTCCTTTGTTTCTTTTTCCTTCACCTCCACTGACCTTCAGACTTACTCAATAGTTGTGTCATCTCTTTTCTCTTTCCATCGTCCCATTCTCACACTCATCTGACTCTTCTGGGGTTTCTTTCTCTTTGTCTGTCTGATGTTTTTCTTATTTTGACGCTGCATCTGTCCTGACCCCTGCTGCAACCTCTTCTCCACTAAACTCTCCTTTCCCACCGTTCTCAATGACTCCTTTGTTTCTTGTTCACCTATTTATCTATCCTCAAAACTAACTATATGACTGGAAGCGCAAGAGTGTCCACAATGACCAGGAGCAAAGTGAAGTGGATTATGTAAGTGAAACAATTCTGCGGAAGTACTTTCTGTTCTGCATTAATACTTCTGTATTCCCATACTTCTTCTTGCAGTTTCACAGAGCTGGATTTACAGATGGATTACTGACAGTGTCACTTGAAAAACTCAGCTGTTCTGCTGAAGAAAGAAGGCTTTGTCACATTATACCACAGAATTTCTTGATTTTGAAGCTCAACATGCTTTCATTCTGTTACCTCACACATACAGCTAAGATGACTTTTCTTCTGCAATGTACTTTCTTGTATTCCAAAAAATGTCTCATGATTTCTAAAATGTAACCTCATGAAAAGGGTCTGAACCCCCTCCTAAAAAATTGTAGCCACAGCCCCGACCACCTGTCCTACCTAAAAGTTGAGTCTGTCCTGGTGCAACTTTGCTGGGCTTGAGGATGAACTGGCACTGAGTATCAGGAGGGAGACACTGGTCCAACAGCAGCACCCCTGGACAATCTGTGGGACTCACTAGATCCCTTTCTGCTCCTCCCCCCAGTCCTCCACCACTGCTCCCCCCATCTCGAATGTGACTCATCTTGATGCTGAATGGAAACTCGTGGCCTGCATGAGAGATCAGGGTGCAGAGGTTATAGGTGAAGGGTTTGGTGTGTGCAGCCTGTGCATGTCACAATGAGCCAAAGCAAAAATGAGATAAAAACTGGGGCATAATTAGCAATGTACAGCTAGTCATAGAATAAAAGATTATATAAGAAAAAAAAGCTATCACAGAAATACCACGGTGACAAAAAAACTAACTGCTCTGAAATTCTCCCAGATGTTGAGTTTTTGTTGCACTGCTACTGTGTGTACAGTCGTGATCTGTTGCTATGGGTATTCTCTGCACTAGCAATGCCAGGTTTTCAAAAATATTCATTGTGGGAGAGATGAGACAGGAGGTGTTTTGTTAACTTTAAATAAGGTTATGAAATATTTCATTCTAAGCACACATGCAGAATTTTTAAGAATAACCAGAATCCAATTCTTAGTTTCACACATCTGCACTCTGGGTTTTTATTGTTAGTGCCTTTATTAAGAGAACCTTGAGAGGTAAAAAGCGTAAAGGCTGATAGGAAAATTATATTTTGACTTTTTTTTAAAAAGCAAAAATTTTTAAATCTTGTCTTAACAAGAAGGTTTAGTAATGCTGTGCTCACCAATGAGAGGGTAAGGAGGGTCGTCCCTACTGGAGCTCACCCACAACCTGTAGTCTTGAACACAGCCCTAGAATAAAGGAGAATCAAGTAAAAATTCTGCTACTTTCCATATCATACTTGGTTTTATCTGCATTTGTGAATGCACCTCCACAAATGCTGCAGAGTTTCTACCAAATTACTGACAGTTTAAAATGCTGAAACATTACAAATCATGTGAAAAAGTCTAAAATCCCATTTATTTGTTTAAATGCTTTACACTTTGTTTGTACAAATACTGATACTCTCAGCCATCAGATATACTGCATATGTTTAACAAGCCATATTTCCTCAGTCTAAACTGGATAGTTACAGGAGAGGCTACTTAACGTGATTTGCCTGAAACACATCAAATTATATTCAGTGAATATTAAGCTAGGTGTCAGCAGTGGTCGTTGGTCACTCACTGATATGCCAAACTGCAGCAGAGCCATTCGGATCACATCAGTGGTGCTGTCAGTGTTGCTGACAGCAAGTGTCTTGGCCTGGTGGAAACATTTTGGAAATATCCAGTTGTTTGTGTGCAACATAAAGAACAGCACTGTGAGTCATTAACTGCCCACCTAAGGACAGACTATGTGACTAAACAATATTTAATTTTGTGCCAGTAGAAGCAATACAAAGGAAAGAGATCTTACATATGCACAGTTTCCAATGTCCTTCGCAAATATCTTCAGTGGAATGGTCTTGGGGTCATCCTTCTCTTTTCCCTCAGCTATGCGACTGAGTGAGGAGGAAAAACAAATGAAGGAGGTTGGTGTTAAAATTTTACAAAAGCATTTGATGTGATTAACATATGGAGTTAATGTCAGCATCTGAAATGTCAAGCAATTCACTTAACCTTAGTCTGAAATTTGAATTGGAAAACTGACTTTGAACTATAAAACAAAAACAGAGCATTATAAACAAAGTAGCAGGGGATAGAACCAAGCAACCATTTACCTTTTGATGAGCAACAACCATTTGTCCGTGTGCTCTTCAGAGCTGAAGAGGAGAAAAGAGAGTGATAAAACATGATCAGAGGAAATCACTTCAAAAGGAACTGTGTGTTTTTTGTAGAACAGCATGTACTCCCGTTGGCTGACACAGACTTCATTAGTAGGCATGTCTGGATTCCTGGTGACGGAACTTGTAATGGGTTTGTGTAAATGAGTGTGAATGGGTGAATGTCACTGAGGCAGCTATGAATACTTTTGTGTTTGCGTTGCATTTTCTTGTCTGCCATGCATCTTGTTGTCTGCTCTATTCTTACTGCATTTATGTTGAGTTTTACGACTGAGAACTGCCTTCAAGCTAAAGGATTTATGAGTTTAGTGTTTGTGTGTTCAGTTTGTAGTTCAAGTGGACAAGTGGACCCAAACCATGCCCCCCACCCCCACCAGCAAACAGAGCCACCTGATTCCCTCAGTGCAGGGATCAAGCACCCAGGGTTTTCCTTTCATTTGTCACCCGTCTATATATTTGAGTGACC